GAAGTCAGTTCATTCAATCTGATGCGATTTGAGGCAGAGCGTGAATTTCGGAAACTTAATCTTACACTGCATTAGTGTTGAAAAACTCTCCCAGAAGTAGACCCTCCATTTTCAAAACAGTTTGATTGTACCGGAGTTTGGCTCTCACAGTAGAGGTTACGTCTCACATGTGGGAAGAAATCAGCTTTGCAGGCGCCCTTTGCTGATTAGAATATACATCGTGCATACCTAACGACAAACGGCTCCTCCAGTTTTGTTGCACATATTATTCCGTCTTCTGAGCATGGGCAAAAATTGCCTTTTGGTTTGAAAGATTTAGTAGGCTCTGCACGTGTCTCGACGGAGTACCTTGAATTCGGAAGTGAATGCCTTCTCACTCCAACCCTAGAACTGTTGCTGCATTGTATCAGAGCAGGCATTATTATCTGATTCCGTGGCAGAGAAAATGTCTGTGCGATAGCTCAGATTGATAGCCCAGATTGTCCTATCATTCGTTGACAATCTTCTGTGACATTTATAGTTCTGTTCCAGTTCTTGGGCTCTATATGCAGTCTTTGTTGAAGCGTGCGCGGGCAAACACCAAATGAACACATTCCAAATGCCACATCTATTTGCCAGCCCCCTGTTGATATTCATTATGGCGACGAAACGACTTTGGGATCATCTAAGTTCTCAGGGTCTCGTAGAAGAATAGACACAAACTGTGCAGTTATCTGACGAGTGACAAGGATGGTTGTTAAAATTGCACTCAGTCGCATGACAGGATCATCCATCATATTTTCTCTCTATCGCCCTTACTAGCTTGGGCTCTCACACGGGTGATCACAACTCCAAACTCTGACTAAAATAATGTAAATGTACAAATATGTGTTGAGCTGTTGGTGCTTTACTGACGAATCAGAAAATGCTCATCAGCAAAATTCCCGAGATTGTGCCGCCGTTCATTGATACGAAAAGACCAGAAAGTGTTGATCGTTAGGAGATATCCGGTGATGGAACCTTATACGGCATTAAAAGAGCGAGTGCGTCAGCTGATTGGATACTCCGAATCGCATCTATGTTAAGCCGACTAAACGCTAACTTATAATTCAATCATTACCTTTATAACCACGGAAATCAAACATTGACCTCGTGTGGGCTTTCGGGGATCCCCAAAATAATAAATCTATATGAGAAATCTTTTGATCACGTACCATAATCGAAGAATATACCAAACGCGGTTTCCTAAGCAAAATTGGTTTTCCGCGTTGTTTTCCGGATCCCGTCGTAAATTACCAGCTTCGTGCCCGCTACATGAATTGCCGTTTGATCAATTCGACCACAGTGGGGAAGTCTGGCCGTGCGATCCACTTGACGGGTAATTGGTTTCCCAAGTTTGGACAATTCCACGCCTGTTGTCTTTTGTATCGCGGCGATGTGGTTCCGAAAGACGTGAACGCGGCGATCACGAAGATCAAGACGCAGAAGACAGTGCAATCCGTGGACTGGTGTCCTACGGGCTTTAAGGTTGGTTTGAATTATCAGCCACCGACCGTTGTTCCAGGTGGTGACCTAGCGAAAGTGCAACAAGCATTGTGCATGTTGAGCAACACGACGGTGGTTGCGGAGGCTTGAGCTCGTTTAGATCATAAATTTGATCTTATGTACGCGAAACGCGCGTTCGTTCATTGGTATGTTGATGAGGGAATGGAAGAAGGTGAATTTTCGGAGGCACGTGAAGATATGGCCGCGTTGGAGAAGGACTATGAGGAGGTTGGGATTGACAGTATTGGTGATGAGAATGACGATAGTGACTATTAGTTTTTTTCTATAGAGGAGATATATTTGGATATTCGTTACTCTTGAATTCGTTCTGACAATGCGCTTGGCGAGTTTTTAGGTGGTTTGTCAAGGTTCCGTTTACGTTAGTATTTTTGACAGCTCAAGCTGCGGTCAGTCGCTTGTATGATATTTGCTGCTAGGCAGGCGGGCATGGGGGCTGCCTAATGCGATGTTGTTGGTCAGAAAACGACATTGAGTAGCCTGAGGTTTGTCTGTGATGCGGGTGCAAGAGATACTTGTGCAGATGCTTGTTATTCCCGACGGGCGTTTTAATGCGTAGGTATTCGAACTGGGAACACCCGGTACACCCAACACCTCTATGTTGGCCCGAAGTTTGTAGCATATGGTGTGGGTAAAACAAAATACTCAGGATTGAAAGGAAATTGTCGAAGGTCGACGAGATTAATGACGGAAGCAGCTGGGTCTCCTGGCAACCGATTCCCCGTGACGCGTTGACGCTAATTGCGCAAAGTCAACGGATCAGGACTTTAACACATCCATGATTTTTTGCATTGCGAAAGTAAGCCATGTTGGGCGCGACCAAATGCCTTTGATAAGTTGAGGTAGGCAGTATATTCTCTGACGTTCGTATCTCGATGTCGATGATTAAACTCAGGCTTGTTAGTTAAGATCTGTGCTCACGAAATCCACGTTGAACATGTGACAGAATTCCATATGGTTCACGCAAGTATAACGGATCGCAGGCCACATAAGACGACAATTTTTGACGAATATCACTATTACCACAACATTTCGATTCCTCATTTCTGTGACCTATTAGGAGTTCATGAAAGGCTCCGTAGGATTTTAATCATAAATAGAACCTTAATTTGGTTTATATGCACTGCAAAAGCGTTTTAGGTGTTCTTTCCAATCGCTCTCCGTCTTTGCATAAGGTGTAAGGCTTTTTTAAATATAGTGCCCGGCGACTTACACGGTCTCTACGTGCATTTGATGGGAGTGTTGTTGAAACAAATCAGTGATACCTAAAGCGCCATTCAGCGACTATGTATAACTATACAGTCGAAAATGAGGTATTTATCGTGCAGCTCCAATTTGTGTGGGGCGAAGTAACGATAAATTGTTTCCTAGGTTGTGGTTATAGCATCTCGATCATATGCTGCGCATGTCGAAACACCGTCTACCGAGACGAGTGTTGTTCTCCGTGCCTCCTTCAGGATGGCGAAAACCGCGAGGTGAACAGCACATGACTTGGCAGAAAGGCGTGAAAAATATCACGAAGAGCTTGGGTGTTGTGCGACTTCCAGAAGGGGGTCCCCGTGACCCCGTCTGTGCTTCGCTGGAGACGTTGCAAGAAATGGCGGCTAATCGATGTCAGTGGCGCTTGCGCTGTCAGTTCCTTCCCAGATTGTCTGATTGAGCGGTCGGAGGTGTAGGCACCTCAGTATGCTTGACATAGGCTAGCACTAGGTCACCTCCCTCACACACTCTTTTTCTCTTCTCTTCACTGTAGGCCTTTTAATACAATTATATATATATATATACAAAGAAATTTTATGGTTGTACGGTTGTTGTAGTGCTTGAAAAACACTTGTTCTCAGCTCACAATGTAGTGGGAATTTTTCGTGCCTTATTCTGGCAGATTGCCCTAGGTCCTATTGGAACAGAACTTTCAAACGGCACAGTGAATCTCCCCCATGCACGATATCTCATATATTGGGAACTTTTCCAACTTGAAAAATTCCATGGGAATTAGGGACTAAACTTTCAGTGGAATGATGAACACTAAGCACATTTTCTGATGTGGAGCTACTTCTAAGAGGTCTCTGATGGATCGTTGTGTTGAAGAACAGTTTATCCAATGGCCCTTTTGTTCTTGAATTTGTGGGAGGCTGGGTTGATGCCTAGGCTCCCATCTACTTCTACAGACGACGTACACGGTACATTTTAACAACGCATCCATTCATCCCAGCGTACACATGAAACAGCAGCAAACAGCACGACAAGCTCTTCTGTCGTTTCGTCCATTGTGACTATCGCTCACTTATGAACTCATTTTTGATCGATATCACTCGACCGATTGTCGCCTGTTGCATCGATTTTCGGCTATGGACCAAGTGCAATAAACCAAATTGTGTGGATCGGTCTTTGGGAATTCGAACTGTGGCTAGCAGCTGACATGCACCGGGCATGCAAGTGAAATACACTGTCATGAGGATTGCACACAG